ACTACCACTACTATTACAACAACTGGTGCAGCTGTTGTGGCTACTACTACTGCTGCTGTGGCTGTGGCTACTACTACTGCTACTGCTGCTGCTAGTACTACTACTGCTACTACTAAAACTATAACAACAACAACAACATCAATTAAAACTAAAATAACAATACTACCGCTACTACTTAAATTACAACAAGTAAATAAAACATTAATTAGAATTACGTTGACAATGACAATTACTAATATTATTAACATTACTACTACAGATAAAACAACAATACAACAATATTACCACAACTACAACTGCCGCTACTACTACTACTACTACTTCTAGCGTCACTACAACAACTACCACCATTACTGAACTACTAACCCGTAACGACAACAAGCATTAGCTGTAGTAATAACATATCCGTGCCCCCGCTTGCCATCATCATCTTCTTCATCCTCTTCCTTTTCGACATTATCATCATCAACATCACCGTCGTCATCATCATCAGCACCGTCGTCATCATCGACGTCATCTTTGACATCATCTTCACCGTCATCATCAACATCGTTGTCGTCGTCATCATTTTAGCCGGGTTTTTTCAGCGTCGGATATTTTCTTTACGATTTTTGATTGATAAATTGAATGATAATTCTATTAAAATTGTAATTAAAATTAACTTTACTTGTCACATTATCATGTAGTAAATAAATTTATTTATGTTTATATTTTAACTGATATTATGGTTTCCTCTACAAGGTGACATAATAATATTTATCAGTACAACAATTATTATACAATTATTATTTTAGAAATACCCAAACGACAAAAATTTACATACCGTTAAAGATAGGGGCAGAGTAAACATAATTAAATTTCACCCATCAAAGAAGGCAACAGACGTATTGAACGCACATAGAACCATGGAAAGATCATATATCCACATTCGAATCAACATCTTTTCCAACTGTGTTCTCCTTATATACTTCATAACTCCATACATATGTACCTTCTACACGTATATGCATATCTAGGCATTACCTAAATGTATGTATGTACGTACATATGCGTGTATTCATATGTATGTGTGCGTGTGTGTGACTGTGTGTGTGCGTGTGTACGTGAGTTTTTTTTTATTTTTGGTTTTATGTTTGTAAAAATATAAGACAACAATTTATTCATAGAGACTATTATAAGCTATATTATTTTGAAAAATTTAAAATTTTTCAGAAAAAGAGAAGTAAATTTTTTTTTAAATTTTAATTTTAGATAACGTTTTCAACGTGAACAAATCTTTTAAAATTCGCCCGGAAGAACTCGCGCGAAAAGTTCAATAAAAATATTGTTAAATCTTCCATCGTCCAAACTTAAATCCACAAAAAGATTTAATTCATTTCACAACAAAACATCACGTGAACATAACACCATTAAAAGCACTGTCAACTTTATCTTCTCTACACTTTTCTTTCTTTCTCTCTTCCTTCTTCTCTCTCTCTCTCCCTCTCTCTCTCCCTCTCTCTCTTTCTTTTTCTTTCTCTCCCTCCTCTCTCTCTTTCTCTCTCTCTTTCTGCTTTTCATAGACACAGTGTATGTTTATGTAATAAAAATCCACCAATATGTATCGTGAGAGCATTATTCGTTTAGTTAGGATGATGTGATTGCACGTAAATCCGACTGCTGCACGTGTATATTCAATAAGTATATTCAATAAAAACTATTGTCCAGATGTCAACGCTTAAACACACGTACACACACACACCACACACACACACACACACACACACATACTTACAGGTACACACATGCATACATGAACTCACACACATACTTACACCCACACACACACATACATACGTAAAAAATTACTTCCATATTGGTACCATTTTTGCAGCATTTTTGCAGCTGAAAAAAATTATTGGATCAATCCACGTTTATGTATATACAACTGGACAGTACACACATACACAACTACAAAAATTTTTGATTATACTCAAACCACACACATACACATATACACACAAAAACACACACATACACACTCACACGTACACAAACAAACACACTGATATGTGACATTTGACCGTCTCTACATACTGATGTGATAAAGCTGGTTACATAAAAAAATGAAAACCAGTTTTGCAGGTTTTCCTGGATTTGTTTTTTTTTTGTTGCTGTTTGTGTTATTGCGATACTCTTTGTGTTGTTGCGATGTTGTTTGTGTTGTTAATTTTTAATAAAATTATTTAGAGTATTTATTGATTGATTACTACTATATAAATAATTTTTAACTTAAAATTAGTAGACCTTTTGTTGATCAGTTTTTAAGTTTTTGTTTAAAAAACTGAGAAAGTGAAAGAAAATAAAAAAAAAAAGATAGTCCTGAAAGAGAGAAGAAAATTTCTGAAAGATATTTAAAAATACCAGACGTCATTTTCTATAGATTTTTCCATTAATTGCATAAGACATCAACGTTTCACTCATTTTTATCATCATTATCTTCCGCCTGTCATTACCATCTATCATCGACTGGTCTCAGTCATTTTTTTCATTATGTCTATTATATCCTTCATCCATCTTTCCATTTTCGTTAAATAAACATTCAACAACAATGGTTATAGAGGCAACAATCAAAATCTAAAAATATATTCATTCGTTCATTTCCTCGTTTTTTCCATTCAATCATTCATTTATTTAGTCATTTATCTATATATCATTCTTTAATTCAATCATTTGTTCATTCATTTATTTATTCAATCGGTTGCTCGTTCACTTGTTTTGCTCGCTCCGTCAAAAATTGTGAATAATTTGTTTACCATCACGTGCGTGCGTGCGCGTGCGTGTGCGTGCGTGCGTGTGTTTCAGTGTAAATCTACTATCAAACAGAAACACACGTATTTCATCAGGCAAGTCAAAATATTTTTATTTGCACAAAACTTTGCTGAATACGAGAACAAATATACAAATGTGTACATACTTCATTAAAACCATTGGATGTATTAACATCCTTCAATTTTTATTTTCAATTTCACAAACACATAATTGTAATAATAATTACATATATACACACATACTCACGTAGAGACAAACACATTCATAAATGCATACATACATACACACATACATGCACACAAATACAAACACACATACACACGTACACACACATACACACGTACACACACATGCATACATATATACATACAAACACATACAAACACATACAAACACATACAAACACACAGATGTACTTCCTTGCCACCGATCAATCTCAATCGACACACACCAAAATATTCTCACAAATTTTTCCTTGGCTTCAAAATTACACGCATGTTCAGTTGAACCAACAAACACTGCTGCCAGATAAATGTACACACACAAATACACACGCACACACACACGTACGCACGCACAAATATATACTTATAAATTTCATTGATATATATATACTCACATAAAAATACATGTATATGTTAATTGTTTGTGTGTGAAATATTTGTGCAACTGTTTGTGTGCAGAAAGAGAGAGAGACTGTCAATTTCAATGAAGGCATTGACAGGTGAATGAAAATAAATCTCTGAATCGTGCCGTGAACCAAACAAATGCATTCATTCATTTCTGATGCATTGACACATACACACACACACACACCACACCACACCACACATATACACACACACACGTGATATGCGAACTAAAATTACACGCATACCTTTTCAAGTTTTTTTGTTAACGGACTTAAACGTTATAACAAAATGATGCAAAACTCTCTACCAGACTCTAACCGATAACGGGCAACCAGAACATCCTTGTGATAGCTGGTAACCAATCAATCAATAAATAACGCACATTTTAAACGGTGGTGAGGCTAGAATAGAACAGCTGGTATTTAAACCAGGTACTACAAATACACTACAATGGATGGATGGATGGATGAATGTATGGATGAATGGATGGATGGGTGGATGAATGAATGAACGGAGAGATGGGTGGTTGGATGTTAAACGCTAACGAATGTAAGCATGTGAAGATCTAATTACGTAATTGTGTTTATCTACTCTTACCATCATCACCACCATCATCACTACCGTCATCTTCGTCATCGTTAATATTATCATCATCTAAATCCCTATCATCATCATCCTCATTTTCATCATCATCATCTTATATAATTACTATAATTTACATTAATATTCACATTGTTAATGCATCAAAGCCATTTTTTATAATGTTATCATCAACATTCTATAACCATTGCAGTCACTATCATCAGATCATCTTAAATAATCACTATAATTATCACCATGATCATCATAATCATCATCGTTATCACCGTCATCGTTATCATCACGAGGTCTTCTTAAATCCCATAGCAAAAATTTCTTATAATGAGCCGACGTTGGTAACGATGTTTAAATGTCCTTCTCTCATTCACCTTTTTTCATCATCATCATCATCATCTACATCTTCATCCTCCTCCTCTTCCTCATCATCATCATCACCACCATCGCCATCATCATCATCTCATCACCACCACTACCTTCGTCGTTGCTCAAATCGCTAATAAGCACACCCATGCAAACATTTGATGCTTATTGAAGTTTTTTTCTAAATTCATCACGTATCTATCTATTCATCAGTCAATTTTTTTATACATTAGATATATATCACTGTCGTATTTTTGCGTATCTATCTGTCTATATCTACATCAATCAAGATATCTTTTTGTCAACGTATCCATCTCTCTATTTTGCCTAACATTTAATTTTTTTTTAGCAATTTATCTATATATTCATTTGTTTATCTATCCATCCATCCATCTGGCCATCAATATCAATCCTTCCATCCACAGATCCACCCATCTACCCACCTACCTACCAGGGAGAACTTCCAATCGTACACTATCCTGCCATCTTTCATCAACTTTCACTGATGTCGTGAACGGGGTTCGTGATAAAACTCTCCATTCAAAAGAGAAATTTAATACAACTTCATCACGTCATCCCTAGCGAATGATGTCATCACTGTCGATGTTTTTGCCAGCCTCATTGTCATCATTTTCCATCTTTGTCAGTGGAGAATGTTACCACATGATGACCATCGGAACATCATCGTCATCACCTTCTGTAAAAAAAATCAATGAACTATTTCATCGATTTGTATTGATTACCATTATTACGTATTGATATTTAACATCGTCGTCATCATCATCATCATGATAATCAACGTTGTCATCGTCATTGTCTTTATCATCATCAGTGACATCTTCAGCAGCAGCATCGTCGTCATCATCTTCACCACCACCGTTGTCAGCGCCAGTTAATTTCTGTACCAGATGTTTGGTTAGTTAGATTCGCGTATTAAAATCTGTTCACCATCAGTAGGCAGGGTTTGTCCGTTCGTTCGTTTGTTTGATTGTTCGTCCGTTCGTTTATTTGTTTGTTGAGTTAGTTGGCTAAACAAAGACAATGATCTGATTTG